AGGTGATCATGGGAAAATCCTGCCTGGGTGCCGTGGTGGCTGGGTGCTGTTATCCCAAAGCCTTGGCAGCATGTGTGGGGTTGTTCCTTCTGCTCACCCGCCAGGCTCCAGTCACCGTCATGGGCTGTGCATCCTGGTTTTCTCTTTCCAACAGAGTCATCTTCACTATCTCATGTTACTGTTGGACCTGGAGCTGAGCTTTAGCCTGGCCCACACAATGGATATGGGAAGCTTTGGGAAAGGATTGTCCTTGATGTGGGACACACACCTGCATCCTGCTCCAGAGTCCTGCACCCACCACAGTTTCTCTTACAGGATCCCTGAGCAGGAGAAGGGCTGTGGCCCATGTCCAAAGCCATGCCCTGGTCCTCCACAGCGTGTGATTTTGCTGAGGCTCCCCATTGCCAGCTCAATCCCAAACTCCTCTCATTCCATGGGCCAGGCTTTTAAACCCCACTGCATGTGCTGCTCCTGCCCAGCACAGCTGACTCTGGGGATGGATGGATGGATGGATCTCCCAGTCCTGGGCAGGAAATGGACAACACCCCTGAGTGGCTGCCTGGTCGATCAGCACATCTCCTTCAATAAATCAGACGATTCTGACGAGCCTGCAGCCAGTTCCCTGCATTTTGGAGCTCCTGGATCCTGCTGATGGGGGTGGGAGCCACTGCTGGAAAAGCTTTTTCCTTCTTGGTCATCTAATTTGGAGCTTTCCAATAAATAGGCTGCTCGACATTTTTTGATATAAAGGTCAACATCGTCTGGTAGACTCGAGGACTTTGGGATAAGTGGAGGAAATGGCATGGGTAGGCTGATTTGATAATGATCCTAATCCTGTGTCTGATCTCTGATAATGATGGTAACCCCATCAGTGTATGCTCATGTCACTGCAAATGGAGCTCACATCATTTTTGGCAGAACTGATGCCTCTTAGCACAGAGTGGCTTTGCTGGAGGCTTTAACTTGTGCAAGAGCTGCCACACAGAATGCAGAAAAGGAAGCTTAAATTGTTTTTAGGAAAAAAATCAATCAGAGTGAGTGTTTTTGGCTAAATAAGGTCTCAGTCTCCCGAGTCAGCTTTCCCAAAGCTGTTGGTGTTTGCTGATGAATTATTGTGGTGATGAGCACACAGCTGACACACCAGCCAAAGTGCAGTTATGGGTGGAGACTCGTTTCAGAAAAAACCTTTACATTCCACAAATCCTTTTATTCAGGCACACCAGGACATGGTCTGCCCTTTTTTTGGTGCTACTGAGGAAGCTTTGTGCTTTGGGAAAGGTGAGAAGTGCTTTAGCACAGGGATTCCCTCCATCCTTCCAGGCTGTGGGGAACAGATACTGAAGCACCTTCCATGCTGGGCGCGTTGGAGATGTTTTCTGGCCATTGTGTGGTTTTTAGAAGTGCTGAAGGGAGAGTAGAAGGAAATTCAGGAGGAGGTTCTGCCTCTGTAGACCCTGGCAGTGCAATGTCAGTGAGCTGTTGCACAGCACACACAGGGATGATGTCCAGAGAGAAATACAGACCCACAGTGCACTTGGAATTCCTCAGAGGACTCTCACAACAGAGCTCTGCAGCATCCGAGGATGTCTGGGGAGATCAGAGCTGCCAGGGCCTGGTTTCCAGCATGCCCCTTTGCTTTGCTGTCTCTTGTGAATGCTTCTTTAGGTTTTCCCAAGTTAGGGATAAGTTAATTACATGGTCCTCTTTTCCTGAAGGACTCCAATGCCTGGATTACGTTTTGCTCCCAGATTTCTGGTTTCTAATCTGATATATGGCACCAATTCGCAGGGAGCCACAGACCCAGGGAACTTGCATTTCTCTTGTCCCCTTGAAATGCCTAGTTGTTTTTTGACTCCAGGGCTGTCTGTGTGACATTCTCCTGACAGGGCTCTCCTGGGGCTGCTTTCCCCTCAATATGATTTGTCTCTGGGTGTTGTGACTGCCTCCCACAGTCCCACAGCCTTTTTCTCTTTGGCCTCTGATCTCTGGCAGGCCTGTGCTGAGAGCTGATTGCCATCTCTCCTCAGGTGGATCACTTACTGCTCTGTAACTGGCTCAAGCCAAGGGGCTGGAGATATTGGATTCCTTTGATAAGGTGCCAAAGTGACACAGTGATATCTGAGCCAAAGCACTGAGTAAATGCTTTTCCCATCTCCCACCATGGTAGATTCCCAAATCCCAGCAGAAGCAAGTTCTTTCTGTTACTCAGCTGTTTGCTAGCAGGAATTATCTGCCCTAGCAGGAGATAGTGTGTGTTCTCTGTGTTTGTTAGGCTCCTGCTATCGCTCACTCCCGGTAGAGAGAGGCATAAAACTCCTTCCAGGTGACTTTTGCAGAAAAAAAATCAATTGTTTATCAACATCTCAGCAATCAATGGATGCAGTGATAGGAGCAACTGTCTCTATTGGAGCTGAGCTTTGACTGCTGAGAGGCCAGATCTGCTGCTAAATCCACCTGGGCCTGAAGCTGGGCTGGAGCTGCGAGGCCAAAACCTGGAGCCAGATCCTTGGAGAGTTTCCTGGTGCTGTGCTGAGCCCTTCCCTCCTCGGGATGCTGGTGCTGATGCTCTTGTGCTCATTCTCTGTGGGCTGTGCTGCTGGGGAGAGCTCTGGAGCTGTTTGTGCACAGTGGTCCCTCAGAGCCAGGGGGGTTCTGCTCTCTGGGTGCTTCTATGCCAAGTTTCGCTGAAGAGATGAACTACAGCACAAAGTGCTCACCCCAGAGGAATTCATCACTATTTTATGTGTCTGTCCATCTTCATTAAGCCTTCTGCTGAAGAACCCTGTATTATATTTTGTTCCCAGACTCTCTTGGCATGTGGCCTTGGTGGCCAGAAGGTGGGCCTGAGGAAGATCTCTCACAGGGTCTAGGTGTTCCTGCTTTTGGGAATTGGTGATAAACTTGCTTTCAGCTGCACTGGTGAAAAGGCCAGCTTGGAGCAACCTGGTCTAGTGGAAGGTGTTCCAGCTTTTGGGGATTGGATGATCTTTAAGGACCTTTCCAACCTAAGCCTTTCCATAACTTTGTGATAATCCTCTCCAGACATCTCTCTCCCTCTTTCCGTGCTACCCTGCCCAGCTGGTCCCTTTCCCTGGGACACCTCTGGCCTTTCCCTCTTGCTTGAAGCTGTTACTTGATGTCTCATTAAACGAGACAACTTAAAGATGTCCCTATCTGCAGAGCATTCCTGAGTCTGAGCTTTCCCAGAGCCAGAGTTCTTCCTGAGCCAGAGCTCCAGGAGCGTTTGGACAACGCTGTCAAGGACAGGACAGGAGGGGACTGTTGGGGTGTCACTGCAGGGCCAGGAGTTGAGGGCTGGGTAATGCTTTTGGGTCCTTTACAACTCAGGATATCGACTCTGTTATCCAGTTTTGAGGTGTCCATGTGGCCAAGGTATCCCTTCACAAAGAAATATGGATAGGAGTGGAAGAGTTAACATCAGCAGCTCCCAGACACGCTGGAGAGTTACATCATGTTGCTGTGGAAACTAACTTTGTGAAAGCACAGTGATGTATGGGAAAGCTTTGGGTCAGCGGGTAATAAATTCTGTTTAAAAAGTGATTTTTTCCCCATCTGCTGATGTAAACATCATTAAGAGAAATGACGGCTGAGAGATGGATTTCTTTTTATATCAATTTTCAGACAAAGAAAATAATTTTTTTTTATAATAAAAAAGTTGCTGGAAATCAGAGAGTGCTATAAATAATGAAATAAAGAAAAAGCACCAGTGATGGAACAGAAATTTTCCCTGGTGATTGGTTTACAGCTCTCTGTGATTTAATGGGAACTTGCAGTTGCCTGTGGGAAGCTGCAGCAAAGCCCTGGATGAGCTCTGTAAAATCATACTTTGCAAATTGTACCATGAATCCCCAACTTTGAGGCTTGGGAGCACCCCTGTCCTGGAAGTCCCCTCTCATCTGCATTTCCCTGCTGCCATTGAGGGGCAAGTTTCCAACCTGCCATGTTGTCATTCGGATTGTCATGAAGGTTTTTGGGTTTATTTTTCACCCTTTGGGATCCAGGATGGTTTGAGGTGAGGCAGCAGAAGTGTCTCAGTTTACCCAAAGCAGTGTGACAGTCCCAGCCAACGGCAAGGGAGCCACTGGGAATGCAGACAAGGGTGTCACCGTGATGAATGGGGTAATTAATAAGCAATTAATGTGCTTCAGAGCATGGCTCCAGCTTTTCTCCCAGCCAGGCATTCAGCACTGATCTGCTTTCTCTGGTGATCCAGAGCAGCCTGGAAGGATGGAGATGATGTTTCCAGATCTCCCCTTGATGGCACCGGGATGCAGCTCTGCACTGGCACAGCAGGGAGTCTGCTTTAGAGGGAAGGAGATTCCAGGGTGGGTTTTTCACTAATTGATGGGATTTAAAAGGATTCTGTGGATTGTCCTTGAAATGAGTGCTCTGAAATGGCCTCCTTTGGCAGCTTCTCCATTCCCATTCCAAACTCCCTGAAAGCTGGCCCAGGTGCAAATACTCCACCTGGCATCACAAATTCGTGTTTCCCTGGCCTGCAGCATTGCTCCCAGATCATCCTTCTGCCTCTTTCCTCTCCTGGCTCAGCCTGGATTTTTCCATGCCCACCAGCACTCCCTGTTAGCCCCATTATCCCTCTCTCCTGGGTGGGTTCGCTCCGTTGCATCAGAGTCCACCAGGACGTTGTACTGATGTCTTGGCCTGAGCAAGAAGTGCATTTCCCATTTCAGGGAAAAATGATGGAGTTTAATTTAAATGTATTTTTTGTCCTGACATGTCCCCGTGAAACCATTAAAAATTGTTTACATATTTTGAGTTGATTTTGGCATTTAAAGCAATTGGATTATAAGAGAAACTTCTAAGTGAAAAGATGCTTTAGAATTAATATCAAAGCGTTTCATGCCCTCAAAATAATGAAACACGATGTTTTGATGTTGTCAAAATGCTCGGGTTATATTTTGTTTAGAAACAAGAATGTGTTGGCATTGACATGCCCAGGTGAGTTGTTCCTTTTGCAGGAAATCAACGATCTGATGGAGAATCCCGAGGGAGCTCAGGTAAGAGCAGCCAAACCTTGCTCACTTGTGTAATAACATCCTTTTTACTCCTCAGCCTCAGGGCTTGTGCTCTAAGAGCAGTCCCAGGGGCTGGTAATTAATTGGCGTAGCTAATTCAGGGATGGACTGGGAATGTGGCAGCTAAACAGGAATATTCTGCAATGTTTGTGAGGGAGGGAGTAGTCATGGGTTGCTGAAGAACCCAAGTACCTTAGAGGACATCACTGTTCTAATGAAGTGTAATAAAAATAAATGAATGTGGTAAAAATGCTGAACAGTTCAAGAGGAGGAAGAAGGTTCCACAGCTCGGACACTGTGGAGGTAATTTTGCATTTTGTCATAGACTGATGGAAACATGAGAGAAATGAAACCTTTAAAGAGCAAAGGAGAGGAAAAGGGATGTGTGAGATTGCAAGGAACCTCATCCCTGACAGCACACACACGTGTGTGTCACTTGAGCTCGGTGATTTGGGATCGGGACTGGTTTGGGTTATCTCTGTTCATGAAGGTGCATCTCTGGGGGCTGCTCCCATGGCTGATCCTTGGCATTCCTACTTCTGCCTCAGGAAAATGCTCCTCTTGGTGCTGGGCTGAACTGGCTGCAGGCTGAGCACAGCCACACAGTCACAGGAGGTGACTCAGGGCCATGGTGCTGCTCTTGCACGGAGTTGGAGGTCCAGTCACGTCACCATGACATGTTCCTCCAATATTTGTGCCAGCTGTGCTCTTTGCTGGCAGCAAACTCATGGTTTCCTTCCCAGATCATGGGGAAGAATCTCCAGCATCCCCTCAGCTGGGAGCAGAGCTTTCCCTCAGAGCCCTGAGCAGAAGGACTTGTGGCTGTGGGGGATGAGCTCAGTGTGACCCAGCTCTGCTCACTGGGACAGAACCCCTCATGCCCTGGGCTGATCCTCCATGGGCAGCAGGAAAGGGGTTGGGATTCTGCCCCTCAGCCCTGCTCTGGTGGATCCCCACCTGCAGAGCTGCCCCAGCCCCGGAATCAAAGCACCAGAAGGATGTGGAATTGCTGGAGTGAGTCCATGGGAGGTCACAGAGATGCTCCAAAGGCTGGAGGTTCTCTGCTCTTGAGATGGGCTGGGAGAACTGGGGGTGTTCACCTGGAGAAAAGGAGGATCCAGGGAGAGCTCAGAACCCCTGCCAGTGCCTAAAGGGGCTCCAGGAGAGCTGGAGAGGGACTGGAGACAAGGGATGGAGGGACACGACAAGGGGGAATGGCTTCAAACAGAAAGAGGGGAGATTTATCTTAGCTATACAGAAGGAATTGTTCCCTGTGAGGGTGGTTAGACCCTGGCACAGGTTGCCCAGAGAAGTTGTGGCTGCTCCTGGACCTCTGGAAGTGTCTAAGGCCAGGTTGGACAGGGCTTGGAGCAGCCTGGGCTAGTGGAAGGTGTCCCTGCCCATGGCAGGGGGTGCAATGAGATGGGCTTTAAGGTCCCTCCCAGCCCACTTTTGTGATCCTATGATTTATTCTGTAATTCTCTGATTCATTCCATGAACCCCACCTGAGCTCCAGCTTTCAGAGTGAGATTTCCTCTGCTTTGGAAGGGTCAAGATTTCAAGTCAAGGCCCCCAGTTCTTCTTCCTCTGTTTTGCCCACCCAGCAGAATTCCAAGCTGGGGAAATTGTTGGAGCTGTGGTTTTAACATGACAGCAGTGACGAGAGGGCGAATGATGCTTCTGTCAGTGCACTGAAGGCCATTGTGCACTATTGATTTTTGTATTTGTTTGGTTTTTGTTGGTGTTTTTTGTAGCAGAACACTCCATTCAAAGGAGTGTAAAACACTCCATTAAATATTAATGCTTTCCCCCACTTCTTTCCCCTGTGGACACATCTCCTTCTGTTTTCCCAGGTCCCCATCCTGCTGGACAGCTGGAGGATGTTCCCACCAAATGATCAGCAGGTCGAGAATGCTGCATAAAACACTCAGCAGTGCCCCTTTAACGTGGAAGCAACTTGACTTTTATTGCCAATGCTGAAAGCATCTACAAATGTAGATTTAGCATCAGCCTCCAGGCTTAAGATACAGCTGTTATATTTTCCTTTCTTCCTTTAATTTTTTCCCCCTCTCTCCTTTGCACTAATGTAATGCTTATTTAGGAACTACAGCCATCTGTGGTTGCTAGGGATGGCACTGTTAAATTTGCTGTTGCTTTCTTTCCCCTGGTTTGATGAGGCTCTCAGTGCACAGAGAATTCCCCAGGACAGCAGAGACTCGCTTTGATTGCTTTTTTTTGAAACACATCCTAAAGACATTGTTCACAGGGCTCTGTCTGTGCTGAGAAAAGGTGGTCAGCTGGAGAGCTGAGATCCTGCCTTGTCGTGGGTTAATGAGGTGAGATCATGAAGAACCAGGCAGCAAAAGAAATTGATGAAATTAGAGGGGATGGCAAATAACAAGGGAGAGAAGGAGGAAGGGCTGGGACCGGAGCTCTTCCTGTTCCTCACAGCAGCCTGTGGTTAATGGTGAGATGATCCACATGGGAACTGGGGCACTTGCAGTACTCAAGGGAATTTTTTAGTGTTTTTCCAGTGAAATGCTGTGCCTGAGCAGATGGACAGGGATCTGCCCCGAGTGGGCAGTCTGGAGCTGGGCACAGCCCTGCACAGCAGGTGTGGTGTTGCCAGCAGGGACTTGGCTCTTTGTGTCAGCGAAGGCAAAGTTGGCTTCTGCCTCTTTTGTCCCTGAGTTGCCTTTAAATGCCTTGTGTTCACCCTTGTGAGGAAAGGTAAATCTTAAAAATTGCTATAAAGAGAAAGAAAAATATCTCTCACTTGGCCAATGCCCTGTAGAGAGAGCCGCTCTATATGTCCTACAAGTGATTTACCTTTTAATCTCCATCTCTTTGATTTTGTTTGGTGTTCTTTCAGTCACCTGCTCCTTTAAATTGTCCTCTGTGGGAGCCACAGCTCCTCTTTCCACTCTGGAGCCTCTTCACTGTGGATTGCCCTTTTCATGGGAAGGTTAATAACAAGTTTATCAGAAAATACTCTTGCATCTTATGGAAAATCAGAGGGGAGGTGCTGCTTTTTGGTCTACAGGAGCTGATATAGGTTGTGTTTGACCAGAAATCCTTTGGCTGCATCTCCTTGGGTACCCAGGCCCATTCCTTGCCCCTGTCCACACTTGTCCTGCAAAGCAGGTTGGCTTCAGGCTGTTTGAAATGGCTTTGCCACCTCCCAGGATGGGATGAGATGTTCAAAATTATGATTGTTTTTTTTTTCCCCCAGTTCAAAGCCAGGGCAGAGACTGCCACAGCCATGATGGGGGGAGTTGGTCGAGTTCCAGGTGTCAGGAAAGTCAGTTTATCTCTCCAGGCTGCCTGAAGGTCCCTGTGTGCCCGAGATCCCAGAGTCACTGGAAGCTCCTTAGCTGTCCCCAAGACTGATGGTTCTCCACCCTTCAAATCCAGGCAGTCCAGAGCCTGGATCACGCCTGGCATGTTCCAAACCAGTCCCTGGGATGTCTCAGGGCATGCTGGGCACCCTGAGCTGGAGGTGAGGATTGGAACCTGCCCTGCTGAAGGCACAGGGATGAGCCTGGCACCATGGTCCTGCAGCTGTCAGCATGATGAATGGGTGTTATGTTTTATTTCCTGCTTTATCAAATACTAATTATGTAGATTATAATTCTCAGCATCACGGTTCCTTTTGGCTCATTTGTTTTTCACTCTCCAGAGCAACAATAGGGGCTTTTTCCATCTCCCCCCTCCCCTTCCCATTCTTGAAATTCTGCTTTAATTGCTTCTCCTTGGCTTTTGCTTAAGGTTTGCTGCTCTGAACTGGTCAATGTATTGATCCTGCACTTTGATAAGGTCAGCAGAGATCAGCTGTGACATTTCCAGGAGATTTGCTCCTCCCCTAATGGGCTTAGTCATCAAAGAGTTTTCCAGGGGACAGGGCAGGGGAGAGATTGAATTTCAGCTCTTACATGTGTTTGTTTGGGCAGACCTGGAAGGTTCTGAGCAGTGGGATCACTTGACAGGCTAAAGGATGTGCTGTCCAGGTTATGAACTCTGCCTCTGGTACCCACCATCATCACTAAACGTCACAGGAACTCTGTGTGATTGGGGGAGGTGGCACCAGCTGATCCCAAAGGGCACAGAACAAGGTGACCCCATCCTGGCATGCCCTGGCTGTGGCAGCTCCAGCCAAGCCCTTCTCCTGACCATTGAGAGGAAGGTGAGGAGATAACAAAAAGAACAAGCAAGCAACATCTGCTGGGCCACATGAGCCTGGGGGAGGAAAATAAACCAACAAATTCCTTCCTGAGGTCTTGGGGAGTGAGACTGGACTACAGCTTCATGGGGAGTGCAAGGCTGAGCAGCAGATCACCCAGAATTTCCTGTTCTTGTCATGGCTGAGGGGACAAGGAAGGGAGCAGGGGCACGGAGGGATGCCCTGAGCCATCCAGCCCCACTCCCTCTGCTCCCTCCCCAGGAGCTGCATTAAAGCCTGGCTGTAAAGGAGTTCTCCACTCCAGCAGTGTCCAAGGAGGAGGATCCACACCCTCGTGAGGGCCTCCAGTGTCCCTCCCTGCTGGGAAACTGCTCAATAATTTGGGATTTCTCTGACCTGAACTTCCAGGCATTGAATCTCATCATCTTGTCAAAATCCTGGGAAGTCCCCTGCAAGCCAGGATATTTCCATGTTGATGCTTAGACGTTTTGGGATTCTTTAAGCAACATTTTGGCAAACTGAGGAAGCTGAGCCAAGTTCAGACTTTTTCCAGCTGTCAGCTGTGTGTGTGGAATCCTTTTAAATGCTCTCCAAGGCTCCAAGGCCTCCCCTCCGTGTGTGGACACCCCACATCTCCTGGAAAAGCTCTAAAAGCCCAGAGCTGTGCTATGCTCTGCACAAGGGCTCTCATAGACTCTAAAATGCTGGAGGGGGTTGTTTTTTTATATAAAGTCATGCAAATGTGGGTGAAATAGGGGAAAATGGAAGGTAAGAGAAGAAGAAAATGCAAATGTCCACCGAAAGCCTGGTTCCTCTCCTTGCTTGGATAAATATTCACTTACTCCAGGGACAGCATCTTTAGTCCTGCTGCAGTCAGTGCTTTCTGAGGTAATCTCTCACATTGGATGTAGCTGTCATTTGCATTCCTGGTTTCCAGAGGTGTTATCTTGCACTGGCTTGCATCAGACTACATTTTTCCATGCTGATGTACCTCAGCAGTGAAGAGGGGGCGAGCAGCTTGTGGTCAAGTGACTGTGTCAGGCTGAGCAAAACGCCCCATGTGTTGTCACCCTTTCCAACCACGTGTGGGTGTTTATCCTCCTGAATCCCTGCTTGGCCACACGGATCAAGGGGCTCTTGATTGGGGTAGATCTTGTTGACACTTGATAGGAAAAGGTGAGAAAAATGTATTTAGTGGGTCGGTAAGGGGCCATGAATCCTGCCCCTTGTACGTGGGCTCATTTAACCCACACTGTGACCTGCTCTGCTCTTGTCGTTACTTACTTGTGACCTCCCTTTCTGATGTCTATAAACATTCCCAGCGAAGAGAATCACTCCAGCAAATGGTGGATAAAATGCTGAATGATGTGGACAGAGAGCAGAGCACTGGAATTGATCTAAACTGCCTGGATGTCCCTCCAGATTCTGGAGCAAAAGCTTTTTTCTGGGTATTTTCAGGCTATGAAGTGAGGCCATAGAGATTTCAGGGTGTCCCAGGTAATGACAGAGTGATTCAATCAGGCTCTCTTATCAGATGCTCTCTGTCCTGCTTGTCTTCCCCTTTCCCTTCTCCATCCTTCTCTAGAGGGCTGGATTGGAATTGCTCAGGTGGGCAGCTCAGCCTTTAGCAGAGTAAGCAGATTCCAGACTATGAGGTAACTAAAAAATGCAGCTGTTTAATGGAGTTTGTGGCCCCCAGATCCTTCCCTGCACAACCCAGCATGGTTACTATGTGTTTATTTCCTGTCCTGTGCACTCAGGATTCTTCTCCCTGGAGGATTTCCACGGTGTCAGCCTCTGAAATGCTCCTGGCACAAGGGAGACGTGCCAGTCCATGCCCACAGAGGAGGGAGGCTGAGGGTAAGTCGCTCATTACAGTCACTTTTACTGGCTTTTTCCCACCTGGGACTGAATTACCTCGAGGAACAGATGAGCTTTTTGCTATTCTGGCTGTGGTCCCATCCCTCTCCCTGTAAATCCTGAGTAACCCAGCAGAGGTGGAGCAGACCCCCTGCAGATGGATTAGGTCCTGTGCCATACTCAGGTTTATCTTTTCAAACACTGTTTCCAGGAAAGAAGCGATGCCTTCAGTCATATTTAAGTAAGTTCAGAGACTGGGGATAAATTATTTAGGCTTTGGAGAAGGTGGAGAAGGGCAGTGGGGTCCTCAGAAGTGCATTTGAGACGTAGGGTTATTTCTGCTTCTGTCCTGGGGTATTGCGTGAGTTAGGGCAATCACGGGGCTCCCAGCACTCAGAGGTTCAGTCACCTTGGTGTCACCCTCTGTGAGGGCACCCTGGGCCCCTCGAGAACCTTCCCTGTGCTCCTGGGTGCTGGGGCATGGCAGGAGCTGATTGGAGGTGACTTGCAGTGAGCAACGTGCAGGATGGGCTCTGGGAAGGTTTGGAAAGCAGTGCAGAATGGGCTCTGGAAAGCTTTGGGACACTGGTTTGCCAAGTGTGTCTTGGGGCTGGGTGTCATACCCCTGCCAAAAAACATCTGCAGGCAGCTGGGATCTGCCTCTTTTACCATTCTTTTCTCCCACCCTACTGCTCCTGTTCAGCTCCTTCACTGCACAAACCCTCTCTGGGTTTGTGTCCTTCAAACCCTTCCTGTTAAACACTTAGTCATCACTTAGCTAAACTACTATATACAAATATAGCTCTTTTGATCTTCCTACGTAAATCAATACCTGCTGTCCTTTCATCTTCACAGGGGCTTTCTCTGAGCTCGCTCCAATTTTCTGTCTTTAAAATGGAGTCATCTTTCCAGCCTGATTCTCCCCGGTTTTCACATTTCCTGAAGCCCCCACACCTGCAGGAAATCCTGGTGGCTTCCTGCCACCTCCGCTGCTTTCAAGCGGTAAAAGTGCTTTGTACAGAGCATCTTTTGCCCCCTTGGATTGCTGTGGATCTTCCCCAGCTTGCTCTGGAAGTGAAGAAGCCCAAGGAACTGGGAAAGGCACAAGCCAGTCTCAACTCTCTGTGCCATTCTGGGATGAAGAAATGTTGTCCCACTTGGGTTATGGAAAGGAATTCCTGCAGTCACTGGTGGCTGCAGAGATGAGCCCAAATTTGTCTGTAACAAAACAGCAAATGCCCAGAGAAGCTGTGGCTGCTCCACTTTCCCCTGGAAGTGTCCAAGGCCAGATTGGACAGGGCTTGGAGCAACCTGGGCTAGTGGAAGGTGTCTCTGCCCATGGCAGAGGGTGGGACTGGATGAGCTTTAAGGTCCCCTCCAGCCCAAACCATCCTGGGATTCTGTGAACAATGGGACACAGGGACAAAGAAGCCCAGGATGGAGGAAGGGCAATGAGCTGCAAGTAGCAGCTATTTATCCCTTCAAAGTGGGGATGGGGGCATCCCTTCCCAAGCTAACCCTGCCTGGCTGCCCCTGGGCTCTGATGGAAGGTTTCAGCCAGGCTTCCCAGAAAGCCAGACCTGGGACATGGATGCAAGGCACACGTGGGGCAGTGGCACTGTCATTGCTGTGGCAGGGATGGATTGGCTCCCCTCAGCTGCCTGGCTGGGGCTGTGGGAGCAGCAGGAGTGTCCTGCTGAGGTAGGGCGGGAGGCGATGCTGGGCCGTGATTTAGTGCAGGTGTCACAGCCCCAGCCCGGCTCACACTTCATCCCAAGTGTTTGGTCTGTTGGTTGTGTTACAGTTGGTAAATAAAACTGTCAGGGAAATGGGCTGGAGCATGTGATCGTGGCTTTAGGGCAAGAATTAAGTCTCTCTGTAGGATTTGAAGAGGCCATTGTGCAATTCCTTCCCCTCTCCTTACCTCCAGATACTGTGGGACCATTCCACCTCTGGACTGGGAACGCTGGGAAAGTCATTAAAGCCATTACAGTAAAAAGCCTTCTCCCTCCCCCCTTCAAATGAAAGGTTTATAATAGCAATAAACCCTTGATTTTAGCATCTCGTTATGGGTCAAATAAAAGCTGGTCAGGAGCAGGAGACAGAATCTCATCCCTCTGCTCGTCCCCTCTGGATAAATGTAGTAGTGCTGCCATGGGCCATATAGCTTAATTAGCCACTCTTCTCTGCTGTTCCTTAGGAAAAATGCTTTGCAAAGCCTAGGCAGGCTGTCCGTGTCATATTTCCCGTGTTCCTAGAGGTGTTAATGAATTCATTAATCACTTAATGGCAAGGAGGGTCTTTAGGGACCGGCATCGCAATTTACTGCTCCCAGGAGGAAGAGGCTCTGTCACTGATCTAAAGTTTCAGCTCCACTAATTTGTGCCAGCAGAGCCACTGAGCTCCTTTCTGCAGTCCTTGGAGTCCACACGGATCTCCCAGTGGGGGCATGGCAGTGACAGGGGTGGGAATTTGCTGGATAGGGTCTTGTGCTGAATGATGTCCTGGCTCTGGAGCATCCAGAGGATGAGCAGGGCAAAGGAAACCTCTCCTCACCCTCATGCTTGTGTTGTTTGTTTGTTGTTTTTTCTTTTCCACTGGGA